TTGAAGTTTTATTTGCCTATTTTAACACATTTTATTTGAAGTTTCCATTCATGTGTTTATTTTTTGATGGTTTTAGGTGGGCAGCACTGATATTGAAGGAATAAACATAATCGCCTTCAGACAGATCAATCAGTTTGATCTGAGTGGCAATGTCATCACTTCCCCTGAGCATCTTCCCACTCTCTGGGTAGATGCAGTCATTTAAATACTGTTTTAAAATGGTTTCTCTTATTTGATCAAATCTTGAAGTCATTGTTGTTCCTCCGTCTCTAAAGGTGAAGCTCTATAAGAGTGACAACCCTGACAATCCCTTCCAGAGTGTGTCTCTTGGCCAGTCCCTGTTCTTCCACTTTGCCCCCCTGCCACGTGATGGAGAGGTACTTTTATTCCTCTAAACGACTCCTATTTTTATTATGTTTTACAATATTCATATTAATCTGCCCGTACTTTGATTTTTAAGTACATCTTAAAAATGGGTGGTGAGACATTTTATTTATTATTTTCATTTTATTGTCTTCTTGCAGAGCTATGTGTTGATGCTAGACACATCACTCTCTCACTCCCAGTATGACTACAAACTCCCACAAATCTCGTTCACATCTTCTGGTTACCACAAACATGTAACACTAACCTTTAACCCTAAGGTAAAAACCTTCTCACACAAAACATTTTTTTTTTCTTTGTCCAATGGACAAATTTTTGTGTGAATAGATCATTTATCTGCGATTAGCTTGACATTTGGTGTAAAAAGGATCTAAATTCTGCATTCCAAAAGCTGTCCGTTAGTGTGACTTTTATGAAATGTTATGACGAAGTTATGATATTCTCAAGTCGTCACATGTATTTATATAGCACTTCCTACAATACAGATTGTGACAGCATGTGTGCAGTGTTAATGTTGCAGAATTCATCAATTAACAGCTGTAAGCATATCAGACAACACCAAAGACAATGGTGTCATTATTCAGCTCAAGTCGGTTCAGTGTCGATTCATTTCAACAACTGTGTCAGTGGTGCCAAGTTCATCAATTATTAAACAAGTTCAATTCAGCTCTAAAGCAGCTCTACAGAAAGCAACAGTATCATTATCCAGTTCAATTTAGTTCAAAACTTGTGTCGATAGTTAGGCTAAAACGAAACTGAAACCAACGTTGGGCCTCTCATTCCACGCAAAATCAAATGTTTCCGTATTCGTGATATATTTGAATGGCAAATTATTATTTATTATATACTTCACTCGCGTTCCAATATCCACGTAAAACAAAATGTTTTGCATAACATCACGGCGGTAACTGTTATAACACTTAACGGCACAGATTTTACTACATATTTTTTACAAAATTTTTTTTTTTTTACTACATAGTTTTTTTCCCCATATTTTTGACTGACTGTATTTTATTATGATAATGAACAGGCTGCATTGTCAAGGTAGCAATGCTTAACTGTGTGCGTGCCTGCGGCGCTGGCACAATCACTTGAATTTTTTCCTTCTAACAGTGGAAGGAACTACTCCTTTTAGTCCTAAAGATAATCGGAATTGTAAAAGGTTTGCTTTGATGGCCATGTGAATCCTCATGTTCTGTTGTTTGCTGCTTTTTGCGCATGTAAATTTAATCCCCGGGAAATTTTTTTTTAGTATTTTTAACGAGTCACAGACACTTATCCTTTCTAGTTTAATTCAATTCTAATTTAAAATAATCTTTTCGGTTAACGGTTAACAATCGGTTAACGAGCGTCGGTTGTCGGTTAGGAAAAATAACCGAAATGAACATCCCTAGTCGATAGTGTCAGTGTAGTTGAATACATTAAAAATATTACCGATTATTACTTATTGTCTTTTAAAGCCCAAGCTCTTAGATTGAATTTGTATGAATTTGTTTGGCTTTCCACAGAGGAAAATACCAGATCAAGATGTTGCCCAGGGATCTTTCATCGCCCTTCCTCTCACATTACTGCTGTTGCTTGCTGTCTATAATCATGAGCGGGTACCAGTTTATTTTTCTTTCAGAATCGTTAAAAAAAACCTTGACATTCTTGACATTTACAATAGCTGCTGTTCATATGACATTATGTAGATAATGATATTGTGTCGTTCCCAGGTGATCCCACTTCTTCTGCAGCTGGTCAGCCAGATCCAGGGAGTTCGAGGACTCGCTCAGGCAAGTGGGGATGGACTCCCGGTGGATGAAGCCAAACGCCAATCAAAAAGGCCAAAGACAAGACGTACATGAGACCTAAGTATGTCCTAATATGAAGGCCAAGCCAGTCTCTGCGTTCAGATCTCACAAGCGTCCAGTGTCAGACAGCACATAAGACCATGTTGGTCTGATCATAAAATCCTATCATAAAAAACAACCTCACATGGGGTCGGCAAAGATTTTTGGACATATTTATTCTTGCTGAATCTCAGATGACCTAAGGTTCTTTTACTGTGGTGTCCTGGTCACACAGATCCCTATATTTTACAGTCCTTAGCATGTGAATGTGGCTCGGAGATTGTGTATTTATGTTTGTGAGGGACTGCTCAGGGAGGATGGCTGATTTAAGAGACTTCAAATGTGGGGGGGGGGGGG